TTCTTTCTTTGAAGGGAGAAATGAACAGAATTCCTGATGGTTGCTGCCCTCTAATGGCCTAATGTATGAATAATCACATGATGAAGGCATGCCCAAGAGTGTGTAGGTGTGTGTGTGTGTGTGTGTGTGTGTACATATGTGCATATTCAATTTACTAGTTATTGCATGTTAGCTATGACACAAACAAAATCTGGGAATCTTTTCTAGTGCTATTTATTCTAAAACATTCTTGCCATCTTATCAATAATTGTAATGTCTAAACAGAAATGAAAATATTTATCAGGTTCAGAAAAAATATACTATGATATAATAAAAAAACAATAAATTGCACTTAAAATAATGATGTTTAGTATGTACACATAAGATAATTTCTTGAAATATATTATTTTTAAAACTTTAGTAAATGCTGGGAAATTTGTTTTTGTACCCACTAGGAATTCTTTCTGAAAACACTTGATTATCAAAGCATGCTGTTCTAGGTGGTGGGAATATAGAAATCCCTCTGAAAACAGCTTGTGTGAGAAAAAAGCAGTGTCTACTTAACAATATGGCTAAGCAGTATTAGATGTGTTTGTTTAATGTATGACTTCTTGGTGTTTTGTAGGTGTGAATCTCTAATATTGATAACACATATGATCTCTAATCCTTGTTCTTGTATTCCTTTTATTATGAAGCATGGGGTAAGTTTAACATTCTATAGAACATAAGTTCAGAATGATTTAGGTAGCGATTTGCTAAGGGAAATAATGGGGGTTAAGTAAACATAAACAAAACTGATTCTAAAATTATGTTTTACTAAGTCCATAAAATTCATAAACATAACAAATATATTGGATTAATTCTGTGAAGGAGAAGGTTCTTACCATCTTGAGGGGTGAATATTGAAAGATTTGACTTGGGTCCAACTCCTGCGCTGGTTTCAGCGGCAACATAGACATCATACATTGTAAATGGTGTTAGATGAGAAAATACAAACTTAAGGTCTTTTGTGCTATTATCCAAAATACGCCCTGCAAAAAGCAGAAGATATCTGTGGATTATTTTATGGAGCATATGCTCATTTCATACTTAGGTATAGTAGCAAGGACAATGAACAAACTGTTAAATTCAAATTTGTTATTGTGAATGAATATATTTAAATATTTGGTTTAGTTGATATAGATGTAATTAAAATGGTGGAAATAACAAGAAAGTCTTCCAATGTTTAAAATAATTTTATTACATTATAAAGTCCTGTTGAGTTGTCATATTATTTTCTACAAAATTAAAAAGAAACGGGCTGCGGATGTAGTTCAGTTGGGAGAGTGCTTGCCTAATATCCATAAAGAAGCTCTTGGTTAAATCCCCAGCATCACATAAAACTGGTCATGGCAGTACATGCCAGTAATCCCAGATCTCAGCACTTAGAGGTGGAGGCAGGAGGATCAGAAGCTCAAAGTCATCCTTGACTACTTGCATTGGAGGCCAGTATGGGATTCATGAGACTCTTGTCCAAAAAGGATGAATGAAAGAAGAAGGAAGGAAGGAAGGAAGGAAGGAAGGAAGGAAGGAAGGAAGGAAGGAAGAAAGGGAGGGAGGGAGGAAGGAAGGAAGGAAGGAAGGAAGGAAGGGAGAAAGGAAGGAGAGAAAACAGATTCATCAATATTAAAATAGTCGTTTTTACTTAGCTTTATTCAATTAAAGTTCTAGTCTCATTAATTTCTGAAAGAAGATATATTTAGAAAACATTTCTTATTTAGCTTATGAATAATTTTGTTTGTTTGTGTTTGTTTGTTTGAGATGAGGTCTCCATGTAGCCGCAGCTGGCCTGGATTTGCTAATGGAGACCAGGCTGGCCTCGAACTCACAGAGTTCTGCCTCTATGAATAAAAATTTTTAACTAATGTATTAGTAAAATGCCATGAATTCTCAACTTTTCCTCTGAATAATTCCTCTGCATTCTTACTCTAATTGCAGCTGGCTCTGTACTGGAAGTACTGTCCCTGGTCCCCTGAAGCAGGATAAATTCTGGGTTCCCCCACCCAGCTCTCAGTTGATGGCCTTAAGGTACAGAAAATGCTCACCATGCTCATCACTGTTCCACCTGCACCACTATCCTACCTCTTTAAAAACTCCACAATTTACTTTTCTAAAATGTATGAGCGTTTGGTCTGTATCTATGTATAAGCACCATGTGCATGCCTGGTGCCCATGGAGATCAGTAGAGGGTGTCAGATCCCCTGGAACTAGAGTTATAGATGTTTTTGAGCCTTCATGTGGTTTCTGGGAGCCAGAACCTGTGCAAGAGCAGCAGATTCTTTTAGCCACTGAGCTATCTCTCCAGCCCCAAAGTGCAAAATTTTAAAGCCCCTGTCATCATGACATCCACTAGCCTGCAGGTCACCATACCATCCACTAGTCTCCAGATCACCATCACATCCTAGTCACTCACTCTCATTCTGTATAGTTTAGCTCTTAACTCAATATTACCATCTTAGAGTATGATGATTTTAATATCACAATTTAATAGTCATTCACTCATAACAAATTATTAGTTTTCTTCTCTACCCTATATCAGCTGCTCCCTCTAGGTCATAGATATCACCATTACTAATGGCTATAAACAACTTCTTTCAAGTTCATGTAACTGCCTCTTACCATGTTTTGTGATCTGAACTTCATTTATGCTAGATTCTAAATCAACACTTCTTTAAGTCTGCTGGAACCTCCAATACAAGAGTCTTACCACTGATTGCATTTTTATTTTGTTTGGTTGCTCATCATTGATGCCCCCTTTTTATCCAGGCCCAATGTCATTGTCAACTGCTGTCTCACATAAACATTCAGTGACCTCGAACTTCTCTTATTGAAGAAGCAAGAGGAGCGCACAATCTCACTCCATGCATGAATTTAATTCAGACCACATTCCAAATGAGTCCTCAGTGGCTCCTGGCATCTTCTCAACTTACATAGCCAAGTAGTCCCATCACTGTCTACTCTTGTAGATGGTCATTTTTTGATTTCTCCTCAGACCTCCAACACCTTCTGTCCTGTCCTTACCCTCAGCTAATGGTCATGTTTCCCATTACATTGAAAACAAATAAATAAGGAGTTATCTGCCTGCAGACTCCCACAGAACAACCTCATCTGCACCCACATACTCTGTCTTATAAACTGCTAGAATCAATAAACTACCTACAGTCTCATCTTGACCCAATCCCTGTATTTAAGCAGATCTTACATCTACCAACAGAAGCACTGTTTCAATAATTCTCACCTCTCTTATGCCAACATGCCTCATTGTTCCTAAAAAAAATCTGTTGACTCTTACTCCGACCCATATTTGCCACCTTTGATTTTTGCGGCAAAACTTGAGTTTCTAATCAGAAGATATATCTCAGCCAAGAGTTGTAATGATATCAGAAAAAATGTGTGTATCTGTTTACTTGCACTGGGAAGCAGGTAGGAGGAAAAAACTCTCTTTTATTTTTAGGAGTTTAACATAGTTCAGAATTTAGAAGCAGAAGTTATTTGGAAGTGATAAAATGCCTTCTCATGTAATCCGTACCATAGACATTCAAAAAGGAATGGTTTGGAACTTGGTCTTTATGGTGCTTTCAAATAAATGACAATGTGTGAGTTTATGTTAATTGATCAGTGTTTTAAATAAACTTTCATAGAAACTACAGGATCTCAGAATGACTAAAATTTTGCGTTACTTTATTTCTTATTGTATAATATTTGAACCCTTCTAATCACCTCTGAATGCTCAAGGTCCTGCTTGTTTATAAGATGGGAAATGTGTTACCATATATGTCCAACAATATTACTTTGAGTAGGCTTCATTTTCAGAGCAGTTTTAAGTTCACAATAACACTGCATAGAGAGCAGAGAGATCCCTCCAGATTATTTCCAGAGAGCTCTGATGATTAGAGATGAACTCCTTGTTCTAAATAGAAGCTTGATTTAATACAGTCTAAACTTATTGGTTTTTTTAATGGATGTAAGTCAGGGACTTCTTGCTCAAATGCTTAAATACACGTGTCATCTCTACCACCTAAATTGAGAACTTGTCATTAGTTTTTTCAATTCCACATAGACCACGAAAGGTGTTTTGGATTCTTATACTCATTTATGGTATTAAACAGAAGATCCAAAGTATTTACCGTCCTCATTGTTTTCTATAATTTGCCTCAATTTAGGGTCTTTTCAAGAGACTGGTACTTTTAAAAAAGTTAGAAATTTCATGTACTTTTATCTCTCATTCAAAAGGTAAAGGAAAAGGTGGAGCAAGACTTACCAGATGGTCCATATAATTCAACTCTATAACTAAACTTCCCTGTTACAACAGTTGGAGGGGCCCATGAAATTGAAAAGGACTTCTCTGTGACATTGCCTGTTATAAAGTTTTGTGGTGGTCCTTCAGGCACTAAAATGAGTACAGAGAAAATGAATATGTAATACATATTTAAGATAAAAGCGATATCCTATGAAAAACATATATCATGAAGTAAAAATAATGACACTAAAATAAATGTGGGCTTAACTTGAAAGAAAAATAGAATACATTAGAATTGACAAATTTGAATAAGACATATAAAAGCACTGGATTAACTTCACAGTTTTCTTAATGTACTTAGTAGTATATATTGTTGTGCAATGCAACATCATTCCTATAATTACTATAATATGGTTGTTGAAAATGCCATACTATCTCCAAATATGTGTGTATGTGTGTGTGTACACATATGTATTAATTCCCACAAAGTGTTGTATTTGGCTGGAGAAACACCTTATTTCTGGTGGACACATAGGTAAACATGTCAAGAAATAACCCTCAAAACTAGGTCACAATGACCTTTACATTTTCATGTCAATAACTTTTGTTCTGAGAGGAAATTTATAACCTACTGATAAAAGATTTAAATGTAACACTGGTAAGATAAAAAAATGACATTTAAAAATAAAAACACATTAAATGTTTTACATATTTTTCTTTGTCTTATTGAAATGGAAAAATTGTTTATACTAATAAACAACTGAATATTAAAACTTCTTATCTAATCAATGTCCCTTTACATCATTTCCATGAAACTATTTGTTATATATAAAGTCAGAAGTAAAAAAGGATAGATATTATCATATAAATATAGTTTTTTAAGTCAAGACAAAATAACTATCATGTAAAAAAATATATGATCTGACATGTATGTCATTGGATAAAAAGACAATGTGCTTTACTGAAATTGCCCTGCCAATAATTTCCATTATCCTCAAAAATTTCCAATCACACTAAAAATCTGATAACTATATTATGATATACATAACATACATCTAGTCCACATATAATATGTACAAATACTAAAATACCAGGTATGTAGTATGTCCATAAGAGTTGTACTAATATGTTATTATGGTACTATATCAGTATCCACATAAAAACACATATAAACAAATACTCACACCTAGAAATATGCCTGCTCAGAATTTACTAGGAATAATGATGTCTAATTGCATTTATTTAATCTTAAGACCCCAGCCATACAACAGGTACTATAACTGCCTCCATTTTTCAAATGAGGAAAATAGAGTGCAAAAAGACATATGTAGTTGTCTATTTTAGCCACTATCATTATCTGACACTGAAATGTTAATCAAACGCTAGTTCTACTTTTCCAGGTAATATCTCCACATCTGGCAAAACAATGGCTGTGAGAACAGAGTACAGATGACTGAAGATGAGTCAGAGGACAAGGGTGGTTATGTAAAGCTGCCGAGGCTAAGGTCAAACTAGGCATGTTGGCACATACCTTTAATCCCAGCACTCTGGAGACAGAGGCAAGTGGACCTCTGTGATAATGGGGCCAGCCTGGTCTAAGTAGACCAAGTTCCAGGCCAGCTAGTACTACAGGGAAACCTTGTCTCAAAAAGATCAAAAACATTGTTGACATCATAGATTGATAAATGCCAACCATAGTAGTTAAAGAATTATTGCTTTCAAATCAGTTTTCACCTCATAGGTGTTTACTAGTATTGAAGGTAGTCAGGTGGGATGCCTATTACCTACTGTGGAGAAAAAAATGTTACTAAAAAAAAGGTTAACAAAAAACACTATGAACAGAATGAAAGAGTAATGTATAATAATATAAGTAAGACAATTTTTTTCTAACCAAAAGCAAATGATACCTGATTCTGGTGTTCTAACAATGGTGCTGTCAATATACCCTGCTTCGGTCGTAACAGCTGAAACTTCAAAAAGATATGTTGTGTATGGTCTCAAGTGTGTCACTACAAAGCTGATAGGCTCCTTCCACACAGAGCTGATCTTGCTCTGTGCCAATGTACTGGAGGAATGTGTAGTCCTCAGTGGAGGCGTAACTCTCACAAGTGTGGGAGATGGGCTGGTGGTGCTCCACAGAAAAGATTCACTGTTCTCCTGTTGAATAAAGGAAACAGTCATGGGCAAATCATGATATCTCTAGGAAAACACAAGGAACACAATTCATTCTTTTTCTTCCTACTATACATATTATTCATCAGAGCACGCGCATGTGTGTGTGTGTGTGCAAGATTTTAACAAATTTAATTATTGTTGCTAGATTTTTAATTATATTCATTAATGGTTATAATTTTACAATAGAATATATGTATTATATTCATCATATTTTAATCTTCCTCATATGTAAGATTTAAAGTGGTTTAAAATAAAGGTCAAATGACAGCAAAATTATCAGTAAGAATTTTTAAAATTCATGTTAACCAAACAAGAGAAAGATCGAAGATAATTTCAGGCATGGCCTACTTTCTTACTATGACTCCCATTTTTTTATCTGAAGTACTCAAGAAAATAATAATAATGTTACCCAGACACTAAGTGTAAATGTACCACATTTACATGTTTGTATGTATTCAAAAAGGATCCTAATTTGAAAAAGATCTTTGAGACTTCAATAAACTATTTGAGATAAAAATAATTTTGCTTGACTGTTTCTCCATTAGTAATAACACAATCAATAATCCCCAGGGGGATTTGAGAAAAAGCATTAATGTAGCATTTCTTAAGGTTTCTCATCAATAACTATAGAAGGAGAATATTTTCATAAAGATATGTTATCCCCAAAAAACACCTGAAACCAGCCCATTGCTTTAAATCAACTCTTGAATATGTATTTCCCTGTAGGTACCCTCCTCTCTTGACACATGCAAGTGTGGCCTTTTCTCCAGTTGGAAATTAGTCTTCCCACCTCAGGGCTTTATAATGTGTCCCCATCTAGAACACCCTGTAACCTACACACACACGCACATCATCATCATCATCATCAATCATCATCCCCATCTGTCCCTTCACAGCTGAGCCAAATATTACTCTTTTAATAACACATTTCTAGAGCCTAGTAAATGATTTTATCTTTCACTCTTTTATTTACTCTCCTGAATACTGAGAGTTGTGTATATCATGATACTGATGCTACGACCTAATAGTGTAAGTGATGAAGTAACCAATAACCACTTTGTAAAATAATGTCAGAAAGTGAAAACTTGGAGACATAAGTTTACTTAAAAATTTTTAGACTTCAATGTGTTCCACAATACACACGTTGCATTCTGGCAATTTCCCCCTCAAAATGTCTTCTACTCTGATGGAGACGTCCTTCACCACTGCCCCACTTCTGGCGTGTTTGACGCTTATCTTGAAGCTGGTGATTTTGCCATTTGGTTGCCGAGGTAAATACCAAATCAGGTTTACCGCTGAATAGTTGAAGGCTTCAACTGTGAGATTGACAACTTTTCCTGGAGCTGGGGGTATTAAAAAGATTTAAGGAGATGAAACACGTAAGGCCTGTTGTAAAACTTAAAGTGCTATGCTATTTGTGATACCTTTGAGATGTTAATGTACACATAATATGAAATTTAATATGTAGTATTTTGGATAAAATCAAAATTTAACCTAAATATGACTTCTAAACAAATGTTTGTTTCATATTAAAATTTTGCAAACCTAGACGTAAACTAAATCTGCTTATTTCAGAATAACTGATCACAAGTTGACACATTTCCAAATGTGCCTTAAAGACTGTCAAAAAGAATTAATCAAACATAAAGAAACTTGGAATTTATAAGGTAACCACATCTTTAAGAAGCTTGATTTCCAAAATGGTAAATTTTAAATATTAATCAAATAAAAAAAATCTGTTAAACCTGCTAAACAAACTTTTCCTGAAGAAGGATATTTATATTAAAATCTTTTTTGTTGTTGTTATTTTTGCTTCAGTAAGCTGTTCCTGTTGTATTTTCCCTTTGTGATTTCAATGTGTTTGAAAATTTTGTTCTTTTCTGTGACATGTCTTTCTCTGATTTAAATACTGTACTTTCCATTTCTTGGTTTCATGCACCTATTAATTCTAGATTATTTATAGAAGGAATTCAACCATTTTGATCCAACTAAAAATTAAGTAATTAAGCACTAAAAGTTGTACTTTAATTCTTTTTACCTTTCTACATAAAGAAATTGTGGTTATTTTGCTACATTCATTCGTATTTAGACACAGAATGTAAGTGCTAGTTTTCAAAGTTTTAAAATCTAAAATAAATTGAAATTTATTTGGAATAATACTCCACGGGATTTTAAAGGCTGAGCTTTAATTCAACTAAGTACACTGATTAATCTGCATATCTCTTGGGAGTAGTTTTGTTCATAAGAAAACAAGTTTCCCCTGATTTAATGATTATAAATTCCATTTATTCCATAGAAATTAATACGTTCTCAAACAGTAATTGGATCATAAATTTTATTACAAGGTTTTATCAGTCAAGGTTGTATCCTCCCTAGATACTCAAGACCCATGCCAAATTATACTTTATGCAAAGACCCTTGAAGAGTTTTGTCTTTGGTGATATATGTATATGATATATGTGTGTATCATTCTCAACTACTAGAAATGATTGTAAAACTCTGCCTGATCATTTACTTGACATATTAATTTACACCTTTGATTATCTTATTCCACTAGTATATAAACTCCATGACAAATACTTGCTATTTGGAGATACTATTTTCTAAATAACCATTTTTTCTATAATGTATTTGATGATAATATTTTACTATTATAAATAAATAGCAAAATTATTAATAAATAACTTGCCATTCAATATCTTATTTTTAACACAGAGTTTATACTTTAACGGAGTAATATTTACAATACAATTAAGGAAGTAGATATTGCAATGTGTCAAGAAGGTCTAATTAAAAAAAAACACTTGTTGGAAATAGATATATAGAGGAGGGGGTGGGGCTATTCCATTCGTATAGTCAACAAATGTAAAATAAGAGAATTAAATCAATTGAACTGGAATATTTATCGACAAAGCATTCTTGGCAGTGTGGTCAAAGTAGTCTGAAATGGAATTGAATTCAGAGACAGCTAGGTGTGGTGGCAACACGCCATTAATCCCAGCACTCTGGAGGCAGAGGCAAGTGGATCCCTGTAAGATTGCAGTCAGCCTGGTCTACACAGCAAGCTCTAAGCCAGTTGAGGCTACAGGAAGACCCCATGATAAATAATTTAAATAAATAAATAAATAAATAAATAAATAAATAATAAAGTAAGAGGCAAGTGAGAGAAGTAGGTGGGAGGATGGCATAGGGTTTTATTCCCAATGAGCAGCAACCAGGTTAGGCAAAGGGAAGCAGCAGCATCTGGTTTATGTTACAAAAAATAATGTGGCTTTAGTGAGGAGAGTAGGCTGCAGGAAGCAAGCTGGAAACAGAAGCCCCATAAGGAGGGTCATTTAGGCAAGCAACAAAAATGAGTTGGGCAGCATGATTATGAGTAAAAGTGAGATTCTGGATACACTTTATGAAAGTGCTGCCAGGAGTTGAAGATGGATTTAGGTATTACTTGAGAGGAGGAACTGAAGATGACGGCAAGTCTTCTACTTCCCCCAGAGGAGGAAGGGAGAACCATAAAGGTTTGGAAATGACTGCCTGTCATAGAATCAGAGGACAACCATGAAATCTGTATTTCCAAGTCTAATGTCACAAAATGCTTATCATTTATATTAATAGGAAAAAAGCTATAAACCTACATGGCATGCCCTTGTTCCAATCAATGGACATATATTCAAAAAGAGATGAGCCACAAACAGACCAGTATAGTAGCAGAGGTAGTTTATAAGCTGGATGTGACACCTATAAGCCCAGCACCTAGGAGGCTGAATCAAGAGGATCCTGAGTCAGAGGACAGCCTGAGCTACATAGTGGCTTCTCAAAATAAATAAAGTTCAGATAGAGGTGTTTTGCCTGACAAGAAAGTGAATAATTTTTATTATAGGTTTCTTAAGTTTGAAAAACATTTTTTCAAGATAATACTTTTATGATCAGAAAGAAAAATATATATCTTACAGAATAAATTCACTATTCCAAACAACTAAAAGGAATTGAATGGCCATCATCAAGAACTGTATGTACTTAGTATAAGATTTTCATTAAATCCTGACTTGTCCTAAATAAGAGCTTGTGACTAAGTTAAAAATTCAGGAAAATTACCACTTTCTGCAGTTTGGAAAAGAAATGGGTCACTAAATACTCCAATGCCAGCACTGTTTTCCGCAGCAACCTAAAACAGATCAGAAAGATTTTATTTTCAAATTCTTTGCTTTTCTAACTACACAGAATCTGAAATGAAAAGCTTCACTTCTCCGTAAGGTAAGTGCCAACAGGATTTTTCCTCTACTTTTCACACTACTCCCAAGAAAGAAAGCAGCATGGAGATACCCATGAAATCAAAATAGGAGGTAGTCTGGCCAGCAACTTGTTGATGAAAAATTGTACAAACTCAAGCCAGATAACATTCTATAATGAAGAGGGGAAGTGGGCACAATGTTGTTCCTCTAGCTGAGGGGCCACTAGCAATTGATGGCTGATGGGAAAAGAAGAGTTGATTTTCTTTAATGGTATAAACACTGGTTATCTGACCACACTCCCTTGGATGAATCTATGGTCAATATGGGCAACACAAACTAAACTCCATGGATTTTACAAAACAACAAGAAAGAAGACACAACACTGGTTGGATAGGGCTGGGGATGGTGGATGGGAGGAGTTGGGGGAGGGGAGTGAATATGGCCATAGTACATTATATGAAATTCTTATAAAATTAATTTAAATTAAATTTTAATTTTAATTAATTTAATTTAAATTAAAAATCTTAAAGAAAAAACTGAGTGAGAGAAGTCATATTTGCCCTGGGTCACATATGAATAAACAGGAGAACTGAATTCAGTTGAAAGACATGCTCCAAAGCTCAACCTTTATTCACCTATACACAGGAGACCGTACATACAGCATTGGACTTTAGAGGTTACACTCGATAACTAGGCAAAATAAATAAGCAAGAAAAGTGCCAGTGAAGACTTAGCGGGCTTGATCCATAACACAGAGTGCACAGTCAAATCTTAAAAGGCGAGGAAACTATTTGTGACTTGAATGATTTAGTGAGATAGATTAACATAGGCAAAGTAAACACTATACATGAGAATGGTACTTCTAAGCTTTTGCAAAATGACATGCGTGGAAGCTGAAAACGTTGTTTAAGTGTGGGTCTACCACCTGCTAGATGGAGAACATTGGACAATTTTCTTAAATCTTCAAAGGTACATTTTTCTCATGTTGAAATGGGAATAATAATTTATCTATGTCATAGAGTTTTTCAGAGACTAACTAAAATAACACATGTAGAACACTTAACAGGAGCCCCATAAGTGCTACTTGTACTGCAGATATCAAATGTACCATGCCAAATGCCCTTTGGAATTCATCAATGGCAAACATTTATTTAAAGAAAGTAAATGTCACAACAATGATTTATAAAGTGTGAGATGAAACATAGACTAGGGGCTTCCCAACAGTCCTGAAATAAGAGAATTCAGAGGAATAAAATTCAAACTCTTAAAAAAATCTAAGCAGAACTAGCCTGGGCAAATTGGCTTTCTCTCAACAATAGTTTGTTATACCACATTAAAATTTAATCTTTATTTACTATCCCCAGGAGTATATTTTGCCATATCAATTAGTCAAAATACATGCACATTTATAGAAAATATCTGTATTATGCAATTTTCAGATGTCAGAAAAATTTCTGGCAAAATCTTTCCCATCGTGTCTTACAATCTAAGAAAAGCACCTCAGTTATGATTTTCTTCTCTGTATTCAATTATCTTAAAGGTTCATAGAAAACACGAATGTTGGGTCTGGCCAGATTGCTCAGTGGGTAAGAGCACTTGCTACCAAGTCTGATGACATGAGTTCCATCCTTAGAACTTATAGTATCAAAAAAGGAGAACTGGTTTCTGAAAGTTGTCCTTTGACCTCCACCTACACAACATAGCATGCATGCATCAACACACATATGCTCAAACACTAGATGGATGGATGAATGGATGGATGGACTCATGGGGTCAGGCAGCCATGGTCTGAACTCCCTGAAACTATGAGTCAACCTAAATCTTCCTTCCCTTAAGTTGTTCTCTTATGGTTACAGCTACTAACTAGCCTATCAAGCTAAGCTAATATTTAGAATTGTTTGTAAGACTCAGAGCAAAGATGAGTTTGAAAGCAGTACAGAAACCTGGGTATGTGGGCACACACCTATAATCCTAACATTCTGTAGATTTAGACAGGAAGATTATGAGCTTGTTAAACCAGCTAGATAGATAGATAGATAGATGATAGATGGATGGATAGATAGATAGATGATGGATAGATAGATAGATAGATGATAGAGAAATAGAGAGATAGAGAGATGGAAAATGTGAATGCTATGGTAAGGAGCAAGAAGATATCCTTGTTCTTCATTATTTATTTTGCAGATGTAAGATATCTTGTAATTGTAAGCATCTCTATTCAACCTATCTTAATAATGCTTTGTGTAATTTCCTCTTTATTTAGTGTTCAAATAAGATGTTAAATTTTGCATCTTTAACATTGTAAACGATTACAAAGTTTTAGAAACAGAAGAGAGTAAAATTTCAGTAAATAGTTCTTGAATGAAGCTGAATTGAATTCACTGTTTTTAGTAAAACTGACTCTTTAGAAGCTTTCAATCCATTGTCCAAATTTTCAATAACAGAAATACAAAAACAGCAAGGTTAGGAGAGCAACACTGAACCTCACGTTGGTCTTTTAAAAAGTACAGTATTTTCAGCATGGAGATGTGGCTAACTGGATAAGTACTCACCTAGCATGCATGAGGCCCTGGGTTCCAACCCAGCACCCCCAAAAAATTAAGAATAAATAATTTTAATTTTAATTCTGACGCTTGAAAAATTTAAATTTAATTTACTTTCAATAAAAGATGTTAAGCTAAAGTTTCTAAAAATGAATCATATATAAATGTTCATCTATATGAAAATGGAGATTACAATATTTCACCAACTTTTAAAGTCGCAAGTGGGTGTTAAAGCTATAACAGCCTAATTTTCCTCAGCCAGTCACTATATTCAGCTCACAGACTGACAAGGAGTGAAAAACCTTCATCTTTCACATGGATGAAATATTTTAATACTAGGTATATATTTACAAAATATTTACCTTAATTTCATATGTTGTTCCAGGATTAAGGTTAGTGAGAAGAACTTCCAGACTGTCTGGCTTTGCTCTCACTTGTGTGTACGCTGCTTGCAGCCATGGGCACACTTCCTTGTATCTAACCACATACGATATAATCCTCCCATTTGGGTTTGGTGGTGTATTCCAAGACAGAAGAATGCCAGCAGATCCAACTCGCTCCCCTGCTAGGAAGACTGGAGGCCCTGGCTCTAGTTTGTTTTAAAAAATTCACTATTATTAAAAGATCAGGCAAATTTGCACTTACACCAAAAAAGTTAGAAAAATCTTTATAAATGTAAACTTTGTAAGTTCCTAAATACCTATATGAATTTATACTCCTAAACTTTATGTAGAAAAAGAAGAAAAATTAATAAAATTCTTTGGGAGAATATCACAAGCATTCTTTTGTAAGAATGTAAAAAATGTTATGCCGCTAAACACTACATGCCAAATATACTTTTGATGCCAAATGATTTCTTAAGACTTTGCTAATGCAAGGTTTACATGCAAAAACTAAGAAAACAAGAAATAGCTTACAAACTGTCTAATCCTTCCTGAACAAGTGTAGTGAGTTTATTTTCTTGATTCTGTATAATTCAAATCTTATCATCAACAGTCTCTCTGTTCCATTTCACAAACAAGTACAATTATCTTTGCTTATTGAAAGTAAAGAAGCTTAAGAACCAGTAGAAGGCAAGTTCTAAACAGATCGCTTTCTACAGTTTCCATTTTAATTATTCTAAGCTGTTTTCATGTGTATAATGCAAATACTGCTAATGTATTTCTATCCAAAAAAGTTACAATGACTACAATTACTTAATCAAAAGTAATTTAAAACATGTACTTACTTGTTACATTTGTTGTCACTGTTCTACTAACAGGTGAGCTGTAAGTTGTAGCAGAAATTGAAGGGAGAGTTATGTCATCTCTAGTTCCATAAATAGCATTGGAAACATCAACCTAGAATACCAAAAACGAATTGAGGTTATTTCTGAAAAGCAAGTGAAAATAATAAATCTATCACTATTTAAAAAGTTAACATTTTCTACATAACGGTATTGTGCAAGATTCTACAAATAAATTTCCAAATTAATAGAAAATGAAAATTTGTTATAGCATATAACTGTTTGCCAGCTAACATAAAATAAAATGAAAACTCACAAAATAGGTTGTGCTATCGAAGTCTAAATCAGTATTTCTACCTGTGTCAGTTCTTTGTCAGTAAGGAAACCACTAAGTCTTTAAAACATCTATAGCTTATTACTTAGTCCTTATTTTTAAGAGTTTACATAAAATACCTGTGTCTCTGAAGTTCCAATAAAAAGGAAAAGAAAAATTAAAAGAAAATCCATCATTATTACATTTTTCAGACAGTAGAATCACATTGACGGCTCTAGAGAGAAATGTTGCCTGCATTAATGATTTAAAGTCAGATCCTCCTGGCAAGTACACAATTAATGAGCCCGGATTACTCAATAGCTCTGCTCTGTCTTTGTTAAACTATTCATGAACTCTTGGATGGATGGCCGTAGGTTCAGAGTAGATGTTTAAAAAAGAAAGAAAGAAAGCGTAGACGTTGCTAAGGTAACCCTCCACAAATGCTGCAACTTACACTCATCAATTCGACGTCGGTGTTTTTGTCTACATCTCATGCTTTTAAAAACCCAAGGAAAGAGTTTTCATGGTGGACGAATTTCATACAGAACTTTCCTTACCAGGACCAAATATAAATGCAAGCAGGCTAGCCAAGTACAAGAATGAAAACTATACCTGATATTCTCCACCTCCCAGATCTGTGATAGTAACAAAGCCACTGTCAGGAACAAGATCCACAAGACACCCATCCCCAGGGCCACAGGGCAGACTCCAGTGCAAAGAAAAGGAATGCATAGACATATTGAAGCCTTTATGTTTCTTGGGGGTTTTTTTTCCCTTTCTGATAGAGAAAATAGAGGTTCGAAGTATGCTTATTCTTTCAAAGGCTCAAAAATTTTTTGAAAATCAGCAGTCTAGGGTGACATTTCAAAATAATCAAATTGTTAGAAAGCAGCAAATTCTGAACAATTTTTATATGTGGAATGTATACTAGGTATATACATCTTTATATTTAGTTTCTTGGTTTTTAAATATAATTATCAGAATAATATACAAATTCATGTTTGTTCTTGGGTTATTTCTTACATTACAAAATCTGTTCATTAACTTGTTTATTAAGGCTTATGCCCTATTTGAATCATTGTAGAACTAAATGTAAACTATTTAACTAGTTGACTTACCGCAGAAGATAATTGAGAAAACGTGACCAAAATAAACAAAATTCATAAATTTTTGGTGCATATTTAGGTACACGTTTCTTTAAAAGTAAAGATCAGTTTTCATATTGCAAATGAATTAAGGTGGTTTTTAAATGGTAAGTACCAATTGTCCTCGCCATTGCGATCATAAGTTTTTACTTTTGCTTCCACTGTTGCTTCTGCTGCCTGTACCAGGAGTTTCCACATACAGTGTCTTATCAATGAGTCATGTTTGCAGTGTGTCTTATCTTTAGAGCAGATTCCAAACAATATAGGGGGAGAGAGAGTGGTAATAAAGCAAGCCTGTCAAAAGACACCTGCTACAGACTCAATATAACCAAAAGAAAGGGTTCTGGAATTAATCACTGAACTCCATTTACCAGTTCAAAACTTCACGCCTAGAGATGATTTGACAATGATGTAACACAAATGTATACTTCCTAAAAAAACCAATAGGGTACATCACATAAAATGAAGCGATAGATAAATGTATTAGTATTTTGGAATTACTGTTTTACTGCATTTTATTAATTGGTTAATATGTGTGGTGCATGCATGCCATAGCACACATGTGGAGATCAGATGACAACTTCACTCATTGAACCATCTCGCCAGCCCAGTAATATTTTATACTAGTTTTGTCTTCTTTGAAAATTTTCTTCAATGTTTACAGCTTCTCTTTCTAACTCTTGGATCTGATAACATTTGTTTATCATTCACCTTAACATTTTTAATGACTCAAAGAATCTCTTGCTATCACCTCCAGACCATCCATTTAGTAAGTACTGCTATTTATGAATATTGTGAACCCAAGATTTAAGGTAGGAGAAATATCAATTGGTGATGAAATTCTTTTGATGTGCAAGGCTGTTGGAGTTTTTGTATATCACTCTGCACACAAACCCATGTCCTCTGTATTCTCAAGTTTAAGAGAAAAGATGTCCGGTAAGGTGGTTTATGCTAGGAATCCCAACACAGGAAGTTGTTCTACTTTCATTCTGTTGCTGTGATAAAACATTTGAACCAAAAGCAGCTGTATCTTACACTTCCAGGTCACAATCCATCGCTGAAGGAAGTCAGGGCAGGAACTCAAGGCAAGAGCTCCAAATAAAAAACAAAACTTAGAGGAATGCTGCTTGCTGGCTCACTCTGGCTACCTCCAAGACTCATGCTTATCTACCTTTCTTCTACAGCCCACCTGCCCAGGAATGACACCACCTATACTGGACTGGGCCCTCCTACATCAGTTAAGAGAGCTCCTCACAGACAGGTCCACAGACTAGCCTGAAAAAGATGATGAACTGAGACCCTTTCAAGTGATTCTAGGCTGTGGACATGTTGATAATACTAACTAGGATAGAGGTGAAGGCAGGAGAATTGGCAATACAAGGTCATCCTCAGCTACGTAGTGAGTTCAAGGCCAATATGGACTATTGGAAACCCTGTCTCAAAAAGAGGGAGGGTAGGAGAGGAGAGGAGCAGGTGAGCGAAGAAATGAGAGCAAGAATGGAGAGCTTGAGGCTTCTTAGCTTGTGTTAAAATGTTAAAATAGATTTTTAAAATTACCATGACTGACAAATCCAACCAAATATGGTTCCCAACTACTGATTTGTGAGAGATAAATGCTTTTTTCAGAGATCTCATAAAGTTAATTAAAATTTTGGCACGGAAGTAAAAGGTATCTAGGGTGAGAATGAAAAATAAAGGAAGGGCAGTAACTGGGATGGTGCTGATCTGGGATGTGGTTTCCTGCACTATGGTTTAAGATTACACACTGAAAGACTCTTGGCTAGGAATGAAACATGTCTCACCAAGAGAAGGAAGAACATATTTGTCTGGAAGTTTGCCAATCTGATCAAGAGGTAAGGCTGGATGCTCCAGAGGAATTAAACAAAGGCCTTCTAAGGCATAGTTGATGAACAAACGAGACAGAGAAAGAAGGAATAACCAAGAAAGATGGACTGTTTCTGGGATTGAGTTAAGAAAAGTCACAGTGTGATGATCACATCGACCATTTAAAAACTTTTTTAATTTTGTGTTCCCCTAAAGCAGTGGGGCAGTTTTAAGACAAAAAGCAGTCTGTCTTGCTTTCAAAGATTATTTTTAAAAGATTGTGTTTGAATGTATTATATGAATTGCAGAAGCATAAACATGGCAGTGGGAAGGTGGGCACTAGGGGCTTGTGGGACTCTGAGCAGAAAGAGGGGGAAGATGGAATGCTGGTCATTAGTGAAGAGCGAGCATCTTCTTCACTAGTAAGAGATAAGAGTTTGAAGATTCAGTTAACTGAGAAGACTACCCTATTATAAGTATGAGATTGACGGTCCATGGAATTTGTTCTCCAAGAGGTAGAAAGTATAAAGTAAAAATGTTTTCACAACTTCAACATTTTATTAACTAACAAAACAATGACATCAAGAGGCAAAAATATCTGTAATGTAAGAGCAAAGCAGTATTATATTAAATTTGGTTAGAACTAGCCAAAGGAATTTTACTCTCAGTTACCATGTCCTAGATTATAATTCCTCAGAAGTTAATCCTCAATATCTTTATACAGTGTGTGATTAAACCATTTTGTCAAATACTTTTAAAATTAGACATCTTTCTTTTATTATAGTAAATTTCAGGCAGCTCTGTCCAATAAACGTGCAATATGAGCTGCACGGGGAATTTTAATTTTTTTAGCAGCCATATTTAAAAGTAAAGAAATACATGTAAAACTAATTTAATAATATATTTAATTTAACCTAATTTATCAGAACCATTATTTCATACATATTAATATAAAATATTAAAGAGATAGATTAATTTTTGCTTTTATCTTTTTTAATTTTGTGTACACCAGACATTTTTGGCACACCTGAATTTGAACTAGCCACCTTCTAAGGCTCAATGGTCAAAGTCAAAAAAAAAAAATTAGTTCAGGGGCTGGAGAGATGGCTCAGTGGTTAAGAACACTGGCTGTTCTTGCAGAAGACCCAGGTTCGAATCCCAGGATTCACATGGCAACTAACAACTGTTCATAACTCCAGTTCCAGGTGACCCGACAGCCTCTTCTGTCCTCTGTCCATGGACACTGCATGACATAGTGCACTTGCGTACAAACAGGCAATAGACTCACACATAAAATAAAATATAATAAAATATTTTTAAAAAATAATTCACTGGCCACCTAAGTTACACTAACTGGGGAGTTCCAGACTAATAAGAAATTCCGTCTTTAAAAAATCTAGATGGAGGCTGGAGAGATGACTTTGAAGTTAACAGCACTTTGCTGTTCTTGTAGAGGACCTGAATTTGTTTTCCAGCACCCACACCAAGCAGTTCACAAATGCTGGTAATTTCAGCTGTAGGGGATCTGATGCCCCTTCTGACTTCTGTGGACACAAACACACACACACACACACACACACACACCAATAATAATGATAATAACAATAATAAACATGCAAATTATGTACATGAAACCATACACATACAAACATGCAAAAACACAAGTATGTACATTCAAAGAAATAATAGTATATATAGTATCTATACACATATTGTATACAAATGTTCATTATCATTTAAACTGCAGTGAGAAGAACTTTCCCAAGAAATAGTGATAACAAATACTATTATTACAGCCATTCCGAAAAGGTAATGAAATTGATTGGCAATGGATTTTGAAACTTTGAGAAAGACAAAATAAAAGATCTCTGTTGCAACAAACCCTACTCTAGTAGAAAATGAATCGTATTTATATCATGACATATAAATATATACAAATGTACACATATATATATGCATGCTTTTGGCTTCAGATAATTTTATAACATGATTTGTAATATCCATAGATACATAAACTTAAAAAATATCTTTATAGTTCACCTAGCCACAATCTTATGATCATTATTCCTTCATTTTCAAGCTTTGTGCTTTAAAACAGCTATAATTAACCTGAGCCAAAATACTTTCAAGTGTTATAAAACCATCAAGAGGAGACTTTATAAACTCCTTACCTGTAGTCACTTTTTCATTACAGATACACAGCAATCTTTGCTTCTGGCTCTCTTCGCTTGAAATGTATTGATCACTGGAAGTGGGATTTTTTTTTTACTTTAGCTTTATTGCAAGAAACAATTACTTTAAACATCTTATCCTTCCTTGATGTCATGTAATAGGATACCTAGAGAAAGAGAAAAGTAAATTCATATTTTCAGAGTTTAA